TTATTAACTGGGGAATTCTGGGAGTTGAAGTCCATCTATCTTAAAGCGTCTTAGCTGGAGAATTCTGGGAGTTGAAGTCCATCTACCTTAAAGCTTATTAACTGGGGAATTCTGGGAGTTGAAGTCCACCCATCTTCAAGTGGCCAAGGTTAAAGAAACTTTGCTTAAGGTGATCACCAAGGACAGGGAATCTACAGCAAACTACAGTTCCCAGCTGCCCCAGTTCCCAGCTTCACAACCAGTTGTGAAGGGTGCTGGGAAATGTAGTACAGTGGTACACTGGCCTTGGAGGTCCAGTTTTTTCTGAATGACACAAAGGACTCTTGGGCATCTGTGCAGATTTATTTAGTTTCCCCTTCTCCTGCGACCCCGGAATTAATCCCTTACTGATGCTGCAGGTTGCACCCATCCAGCCTGGCAAGCAGTCGCAAAAATAGCTCCCCGCAAGGTTTTTACACGCCCGAGCGTGAAGACACGGCTTTCTGTGGCATTCGTTCACATCTGGAAGGAAGAACAGTGAGCCTTTAGATCAGGGGTGTCCAACCTTGGCAACTTTAAGACTTGTGGACTTTAACTCCCAGAATTCCTCAGCCAGCTTTGCTGGCTGAGGAATTCTGGGAGTTGAAGTCCACAAGTCTTAAAGTTGCCAAGGTTGGACAGCCCTGCTTTAGATCCACCCGACTTTTTTCCTGCCTCCCCCTCTTCCTCTTCCATTGGCCGTTAGCATTCACAGGTACACTACTCCTGGATGAGGAAGCTCAGAGCTGGCAAAGCCATGAAACCCAATACCCATGGTTTTGCTTTTAAAAAAATCTCTTCCCAGTTGCCGTAATCAAGAATATATATATATATTTTTAAAAAAAGAATAATGTAATCTCAAAAATGTCTCCCAGAATCCCCCAGCCGGGTTTGCTTTAAGATGGATGGACCTCAATTCAGTTCAACGATGGAATTCTGGGAGTTGAAGTCCACCCGTCTTAAAAGTTTCTTAAGGTTTTTTTTTTTTTTTTTACAGCATTATTTAAAATTCTTGTTCCATTTCTATATTCGTATCCCACATTGCCTTTATCTGTCATATTTGCAATTTTATCAATCCTTATGCTATTAATTCTAGAAACTGTCCCCTTTGGTTCTTAATTCGAGCTTAACCACCTTCATTCTACTTAATAATTACTACATATCAGGTATATACATATTCTGCATCAGATTCCGCATAACATTTTCTCAATCACCATACTTATCATCTATGCTTTACAAATGTATTAATCTAATCAATTCCTTATAACAACTGATATTAATCTTTCCATAGTAATTCTCATCTTTTTTCACATCGCTAATCATCAACTAATATATAATATTCTTATTATAAATTCCCATTTCCGTATTTATTTCACTGAATTCCATATCTAATGCAGCGATAATCCTTTCATACAAAAGAAAAAGGAAGAAGAAAAGAAAAAACAATATCAGTTACAATCTTGTCTACTTTCAGTACTTATTCTTATATATCACAACACATTACCTTGCAGAATCTCCTTCCTAGATGGGAACGTATGAATCTGTACTTGTAAAATTGGAACCTAAAGCTGAAATCGCACTTCGTTTCCCCTCCAGCTGTCTGATCCGCCTCCAGAAAGCTACCCTACCGCGTGCTGGGAACCACATACCATCCTGGCACGCCTTCCCACGCCACCCGGGTGGACAGACACACTGCGGTCCGGACGGAGTTGGACGGCAGCTCCCACCGTTGGCACAAAGCTCCGAAGGGCAGGGCGGCCTGGAAGCAGGCAGAGGAAGGAGGGCTGGGAAGAGACGACAACCAGAGACAACCCGCATTACGTATCTGATATTAACACAGCTGAGAAAGTCCAGAAATATTTCACGAGAAGAGTTCTCCACTCCTCTACTCGTTGTAGAATACCTTATGCCACCAGACTTGAAATTCTAGACCTAGAAAACCTAGAACTACGCCGCCTTCGGTCCGATCTAAGTATAGTATATAAAATCATACATTGCAATGACTTACCTGTCAATGAATACTTCAGCTTCAACCATAACAACACAAGAGCAAACAATAGATACAAACTCAAAGTTAACCGCACCAAACTTGATTGCAGGAAATACGACTTCAGCAACAGAGCGGTCAATGTCTGGAATCCTCTACCTGACTCTGTGGTTTCTTCCCCAAACCCCAAAAACTTTAACTTTAGACTGTCTACTATTGACCTCACCTAAGAGGTCTGTAAGGGGCATGCATAAGCGTACCAACGTGCCTACCGTCCCTGTCCTATTGTTTCTTTTATATTTTTCTTATGTGTGTCCATTTCATGTATTCATAACTATGTATATTCTTATACCTATTATCTTGTAAGCGATTGACAAATCAAATTAAAATAATAAAAAAATTAAAAGAAAAAGAGTCAGTCAAGGGACCAGTTGTGCAAATGAGTGAATCACAAGGGATAGAGGTCCAGAGAGTGTTTGGAACCACATCTGAGTTAGTCACAGTCCGGCTGGTTGGGGACTTGCACTAGGATTAAGAAGGGGGCTGAAAGTCCCCACTCCCCAATTTATCCTCTGAGTCCTTGGTGCTCTCTGAGATGGGTGGTTGTTTCATGACCCAACTGGGGAACATCATCGGTGCTAGAAAGGAAGCGGGGTTGGGAGGAGGAGAACTGTGGGGTTCCCCGATACTCTTTGAGTTTGGTGGTTTTCTTGTAGACCTCTCATGACCCACCTAGGCAACCTCATCAGTGCTAGAAGAGAGGGGGGTTGTGGAAAGGAGGAGGAAAAAGGGAAGGACTGTGAGGTCCTTGGTGCTCTCTGATCGTGGTTGTTTTCTGGCAGGTGTTTCATGACCCAACTAGGGAACATCATCAGAGCTAGTAAGGTGGGGGTTTTGCAGAAAGGAGGAGGAGGAGGAAGAGGAGGAGGAAGGAAGAAGAGGAAAAAGAAGAGGAAAAAGAAAGAAAGGAAAGAAGAAAGAAGAAAGAGAAGAAGGAAGGAGGAGGAGGAAGAAGGAGGAAGAAGGAAGAAGGAAGGAAAGGAAGAAGAAGTAAAAGAAGAGGAAAAAGAAGGAATGACGAAAGAAGAAGGAAGGAAGGAGAGGAGGAGGAAGGAAGAGAAGAAGAAAAGAAGAGGAAAAAGAAAGAAAAGAAGGAAGAAAGAAGGAAGAAGAAGAAAGGAGCAGGAGGAAGGAAGAAGGAAGGAAAGGAAGAAGGAAAAGAAAATAAAAGAGAAGGAAAAGAAGGAAGGAAGAAGGAAGGAAGGAAGGAGAGGAGGAGGAGGAAGGAAGAGAAGAAGAAGAAAAGAAGAGGAAAAAGAAAGAAAAGAAGGAAGGAGGAAGGAAGAAGGAAGGAAGGAAAGGAAGAAGAAGGAAAAGGAAAGGAAAAAGAAGGAAAAGAAGGAAGGAAGAGAAAAGAAAAAAGGAAGAAGAAGGAAGGAAGGAAGGAAGGAAGGAAGGAAGGAAGGAAGGAAGGAAGGAAGGAGAGGAGAGGAGGAGGAGGAGAACTGTGGGGTTGCTCCCTGAGCTTGGTTGTTTTCTTGCAGACATTTCATGACCCAGCTAGGTAACATCATCAGTGCTACACAGCTCAACTCAACTAACTCATTTAATTTTTCAATCAAGCAAGGATTGGATGTTAGCTGCTCACAGGACAATCTTCTCTAATACGTAATGCAGACAACTACCAAAACAATACATCATCCCAAGAACGCCCATCACTGGTCCCGCCCCTCTGTCCCCGGTCTCTGCCAAGGGGGGTGGTCTGGAAAGCCCTTCCCCCTCCCCCCTCAGCTCCTCCCTCTTTCCTCATCCCCGGCTGGCCGTCCCTGCTCACCATCCTCGCAGTTGCGCCCGCCAAATCCTTCCGGGCAGAGGCACTCATATTCATCCGGTTCCTTGTTGGCACAGGTGCCGCCGTTCTGGCACGGGCGGTGTGATCCACAATAATTCAGATCTGAGCGAGAAGGACCAAAAAAGGAAAGCGGGTTTGGGGGGATCTGGTCCAAGGTTCCGGCAGTGACCCCCGTTTAAATCCTGAGTCTCGAGTTAAACTTCCAAAACTTAAAAAGGATTTATTAGGAGTAAACATGCTAGCACTGCCTGGGTGTAGCCGACTCTGAGACACATCATTCATGGTCACCCTTGACCCTGGTTTTCCCTCCCACCCCCTGAGTGTATCATAATTCATATCCTCCAATGGGACACCTCCATAGCTCAGAGTCATCAATCAGGCTCTCCAGTTAGATTTTTGCACGGCAGAAACTTCAGTCGCCTAGTGATTGTGAAAACCTTTACGGAATGCAGTTTCGATTTGCACACTGCCACACTGCTCCCCCCTCCCTTTCTGTTGGCAACTCGAAAAAGACCATAGAATTATTTTATGAGTTGACACCCCGTTCCATCTGAACCAGGCATTCGGAATAGGCGCCTCTCAGGGTTACCAATCTCCCTGCCAGCTTCTCTGGCTGAGTTGCCACTACGGTTGTTGTTGGCATAACCTTCTCTGAAGTTGCCCAGCTTCCCTTATTTCCTCATTTTTTGAAAAAATAAAATAAAATAAAATATAATTCCCAAGATGATTCATTGGGAAGCGATGACAGGTAGTCCTCGGCTTACGACCACAATGGAGGCCCAGAACTTATGCTGTTCAGCAAGACGTTTGTTTTTCCCTGTTTTACAACGGCAGGGAATCCCTGCCGTTGCTCAGTTAGTGACATGGCTGTTAAATGAATCCGGCTTGCCCGGTGGCCTTGCTGGTCAAGACACAGCAACGGTCGTAAGTATGAAGCAGCGGCCAAGCATCTGAATTTTTGATCAGGTGACCACGGCGAATGTTGCAACGGTCGTGTGAAAAACGGTTGTAAGTCACTTTTTTCAGTGCCATTGTAACTTAAAACCATCACGAAAGGAACGGTTGTAAATCGAGGACTACCTATATTAGCTTCAAAAGACCCTGGTAGGTGTCTTGGGGGAATCCTCAACTTATCAACCTTCCATTTAGTGGCTAGTTGATGTCACAAAGAAGTGAAAAAAAAGTGACTTATAGTTGATCCTCGCACTTACAACCACCACTGCAGCTTCCCAGGGTCACACGTTCAAAATTCGGCCACTTGGCAACTGGCATGTACTTACGACGGTGTCAACTCATCAAATATTTCTCTGGTCTTTTTAGAGGTGCCAACAGAAAGGGAGGAGGGGGGAGCAGTGCGACAGCTTGCAGAAAAACCAAAAGTGCATTCCATAAATGTTTTCAAAGATAGTAACTAGGTGACTGAAGTTTCTCCCGTGCAAAATTCTAACTGGAGAGCTTGATTGATGCCTCTTGGCTATGGAGGTGTCCCATTGGAGAATATGATTTACGACACACACAGAGGGTGGGGGGGGGGAAACCAGGGTCAAGGGTGACAGTGAATCACAGAGTTGGCTGCACCCAGGCAGTGCCGGACATGTTAACTCCCAATAAATCCTTTTGAAGGTTTGGAAGTTTGGCTCGAGACTCGGGATTTAAATGGGGGTCACTGCTGGAGCCCTGACAGCTAGCTGAGATTCCCTTTGCGTCACACGATCCCCATTTACGACCTTCCCAACTGACATCCCACAAGGAAAGTCAATGCGGGAAGCCAGATTCGCTTAATGACTGCATGATTCTCTTGAACCACAGTAGTGATTCGTTTCACCCCCCCTGCGGCAAGAAAAGGCGGTAAAATTGGGGTGGAACTTGCTTACTAACCACCTCGTTTAGCGACAGAAATGCCTGTCCCCTCTTGGTGCTCGTAAGCCAAGGATTATCTGTGTTCTTCTGTTAATGGCTCTCCTGCTTCGAGCAGGGGGGGGGCTGGACTAGATGATCTCCAAGGTCCCTTCCAACTCTGTTATTCTGTGACAGGGGTCCCCCAAACGTGGCCCCTTTAAGACTTGTGGATTTCAACTCCCAGAATTCTCCAGCCAGCTATGCTGGGAGTGGAAGTCCACAAGTCTTAAAGGGGCCACGATGGGGGACCTCCCTGCTATAGAAGGAATTGCCAAGAATTTCTGCCTCTTGGTGGGAGGGTCTCCGCTGCCCCCTTTCTTCCCATCTCAACACGAGGACCGGGGGTGGGATTCAAATTTTTTTTACTACCATTTCTGTGGTTACTGCAAATCCCCCATTCCCTCCCCACCCCACTAACCTGCTTTCCAGCTCCGTTCTCCTCTGCAGGGCAACCAAAGGAGACCCAGCCGATCAGCTGGGACTCGATGGGAGGCGGAGAAGAGATGGGGTTGGCGGGGCCGGTCAGAGGTGGGATTGGCCGGTTCTCCAAACTACTCCAAATTTCCGCTACTGGTTCTCCAGAACTGGTCCGAACCGGCTGAAGACCACCTCTGCGCTGCCCCCTTTCTTCCCGTCTCAACGCAAGGACCCCCTGAGCAAGCCCAGAGGGGGTGGGGAACTCACCCTTGTCACACAGAAGGCCACCCCAGTTGGTCTCGCAGTCGCACTTCCAAGGCACGGTGCAGCTCCCATGGACGCAACCAGGGAAGAGGAGGCATTGGTCACAATGGGGGCCTGTCCAGCCGTAATGGCACCTGAGAAGGGAGGGGGGGTTACTGTACAGCAAATGGCCTAGAAAATGAGGAGGGGGAAGCAGCTAGGTCAGGCCTGCCCCCATCTGATCCTGTAGGACAGGGTCCCCAACTCCTGGTCCGTGGACTGGCACCGGGGGGGCTGCAGCACACCTGAAACCAGTCTGTGCAAACCAGCGAAGCCCCATCCCGTGGGGCGCAGGCCGCACGTAAAACCACATCCCCCTCCTCCGGTCCTCAGAACAACCTCTCTCCAGCTGGAGAATACTGGGAGTTGAAAGTCTTCAAGTTGCCAAGGTTGGAGACCCTTGATCAGGGGTGGGATTCCACCGATCAATTCACAATTTGCTCCCAACAGCTTGCTGCGTGCAACTTCCCTTTTTAAACACCGTGTTCCCAGCTGCAGCTAATGAAGGGAATCAGGGCCCTTTCCTCCCCCGTAAGCCAGGCAACCCACGTTGCTCCCTTCTCTGTTTCTTCCTGTGCGCCCTAGGATGAAGAGGGGGTGGGCCTGGGTCTTCCTCTAAACTCCCTCTCCCTTGTTCTACCTCTCCCCTGCTCTGCCCAGCCGCACTTTGCCCTTCCCCAGTTTCTTCCACAGCCAACGGAGCCACACTCCCGCTCCCTGTCAGCTGCTCGGCCTTCCCCTCCGAATCAGATTCCGACAGGGGCATGACTCAGCTCTTTTCTTCACAGAGGCTGCAGTTGAGGGTAAGTATGGGCTGGGCTTGGCCCTCCGTCCATGCCCTGCACTTACCTGCATCCAAAAGGTGGGGACTCCTGGGAGAGGCAGGGCAGGGTGGGCAGGCCGGCCAGGAGTGGGATTTGGAGTCCTCCAAACTGCACAGAATCTTAGCTAGTGGCTCTCCCAAAATTCCCAGCAGCCCCACCCGGATTCAGAACCCCCTCCCACCTGCTTACTCCTCACCTGCACTCGCCAGGCTCCTCGCAAAACCCGTGCGTTTTGTGGCACCCCTGGCGACAAACACCTGCAAGAGACCACAAGGAGAAGGTTGCAACATCAGGCGAGGCTCCGGACTGGGTCTTGAAAGCTGCTGCCCCCTTTCTTTGTGGGCGCACCAGAATGATCCTTCGGATACCGCGGTTAGGGTGCTGGCCTACCTCAAAGGGCTGGCAAGGAGGGAGCTAAGGGGAGGGGATTTGGCCGACGGATTTGCACCAGGGAGGAATGTCCTTGTTTTGGTGTTCGTGGGAAGGACAGAAAGGATGCAGAGAGGGGGGCTGCCCAATCTGGAGACCCCATTGAACTTTTGATTTTGCATCACTAGGTGCGCGGAGAAGGGAAAGGGGTTGGTCTACCTGGCTACAGGTAAGATAAAGGTTAAGGAAGGAGGGCTGAGCCTCAGGTGCTCCTTTCTGTTTTTGAGGTGGAATATCAGGTTCCGGCATCTCCAGAACAGCAAAACATAGAGACAGGTGTCAAAAAAAAATCAAGATGGCAGCTGGGAACATGTGATGAAGTCCAACCCCTTTTAAATGCACAGGTGACATATAGAAGCCCAGGTGGGGTTTGGGGAGGCAGTTACGTCCATCATTTTGATCTGTTTGTCTGCTCCCCACCCCAGAAAAATGTCCACCATTTGGTTTTTTTTGCTTGCGTCCATCTTGGTTTTTGTAACACACACACACACACCCAAAACACTTTCTGGGAGGGGGGAATTGGGCCAGTACAACCAGGGGTGGGATTCAAATTTTTAACAACCAGTTCTGTGGGCGTGGCTTAGGTGGTGGGCGTGGCTTGGTGGTCATGTTATTGGCTGGGTGTGGCCAACTCAATATCACTCACATCGAGGCACGCCTCTCCTCGCCTGGCCTCTCATGACTGTGGGGATGCTGCAACAGCCGTAAGTGTGAAAAACGGTCATAAGTCACTTTTTTCAGTGCCATTGTAACTTTGAATGGTCCCTCCACACAAGCAAAGGACCAGCAAAGGAGGAAAAAAAAACTCCAGAGAAGTTCCAGAGACAGGAAGTCTAGTCCTGCCAAGAATGTAATAAGGGTTAATGGAGGGGCAGTTTCTGTAAGCAACACCAGAATGTTTCCTTCCTGCCTTCCTTACAGGATTAGGCCAGTTATTTCTTCTAACAACCGGTTCTCCCAACTGCTTAGACTGTTAACAACTGGTTCTAGCGAATTGGTGTGAACTGGTAGAATCCCACCCCTGAGTACAACCACAGTGTAGGAGGAGCCGCAGGGCAATGGGATAGCTTGCCCTTTTCTAGACCCTTTTTCCTCGCCCTGCCCTGCCCCGCGCCAGCCCTCCAGCCCCAGACATACCCCGTTGGCACTTGTTCCCTGTCCAGCCGTCGAGACAGACCTTGTTCCCGGCCGCGTCGCAGCTGTGGTGCCCGAAGAAGTCGTCACGGGGCCTGCAGAGCAGGTTGCACGAGGGCCCGTAGTAGTGCTCATGGCAGCGCACTCGCAGCCGGCACTCCAGCAGGGCGCTGCGCCCGTGATGCCCTAAATGCTGCCAGCCTTCGCCTGGGTTCACCATGCCCGAACGGGTCAACCGCTCAATCAGCTGCCCTGAGCCTGCCAAAGAAGGGGAGGAAGACGAAGGTGGAGGGTCCTGTTCTCCATCACCAGCCCACATCTGGTGGGAGGCACACAAAAACCAAGGACCCAGCGGCCCCAGGAGAAAAAGCGGGAGGCGTCCGCAACATACAAGAGTGGGGACTGCAACAGTCGCTACGAGACGGAATGTTTGCAGAGCGCATCCGTGAACACCAACCAGCAGTCAGGATGAAAACCCCTTAACTGGACAACACGCGGACAAAAACGTCACCATAGTTTCAACTGGGAAACTGTGAGCAACCTGGACCAATTAAGTTCAAGAACACTGGAACATTTCTGGAAGGTCGGCATTCAGACAAATCAGCCATCAACAGGCACACTGAGATGTACAACATTTACACGCCCTTCAAAAGAGACAATGAAAAAGGAAGCAAAAAAGACCACAACACCTCAGCTGGGTAATGAAATGTCTGCAAGAAAACCACCAAGCTCAGACACCATCAAGGGCCCCACAGTCGTTGTCGTCTCCTCCTCCTCCTCCTCCTCCTCCCCCCCGTCCTCCTCTTCTTCTCACAAATCCCACTCCCTTCTAGCACTCATGATATTCCCTAGTTTGGTCATGAAACATCTACAAGAAAACCAACAAGCTCAGAGAGCACCAAGGACGCCACAATCCTTCTCTTTCTCCTCCTCTTCCTCTCCACAAACCCACTCCCTTCTAGCATTGATTATTACCGAGTTGAGTCATGAAATATCTGCAAGAAAACATCCCGGCTCCAGGAGCACCAAGGACCTCACCGGTACAAAACTGACATATTCAAGGCAATTCAAAAAGATCCTCAACAGTCCGAAACTTGGAACTTGTTTTATCATCGATGTTGACAGATGCAAGAATTTTATGACGTGGGTAAATAAAAAGAGCCGTCCATTCCCAAAATGGAAGAATGGCTGGGAAAAGTGATGGTGTTGGCAGAAAGCGCAGAGTTAATTTTTTAATTAAAGAGAAGGACTTATCTGGTTTTGTTTGCATACGGAAATCGCTTCTGGACTTTGCGCTCGAAACAGAAAACGAAATTAAATTTTGATTTTAGGTTTTGGAAGACTAGATTAACTTGGTTATTATAGAAATGGCTTCTATTTGCCGGAAATGCAAAGCAAAAAGCTGAGGTTGGATCTGTTGTTTTGGGTTTTACTGCACTGAATAAAGTAAAAAGAAAAATCACTGCATTTTTTTTTACTCTGTTTCTCTTTATACTGCACCCCTTCCTTTTTTTCCTGTTTTCATTTTCACCTGTATTTTATATCACAATAAACTCTACTACAATAAACTCTACATTATCGATACTCCCAAGCATTTGGTTCATCCTTGAGTGCCCGGGTCAGAGCTGGAAAGGAGCACAAGTTACTAGTCCACAAAGAGGCTGGCACACCGCCTGCCACTGGAACAGGGATGAAAATTAAAACTCATTTACCCGCTCCTCCTGTTAGATCGGGTAGATCGGTTCCCACAGAGACGCGAGACCAAAGTGAACAGTCAGCTCTTTATTGTAGTATACAGTTCTGTACAGGACCTGCGAGCCGCGTGGCTTTTCTTATAGAGCCGGCCGGCGGCTCGGCGGCCAATGACAGCACTTTGAATCTCCCGCGATCGGCTCGGCCAATCGCGGTAGATTCTTAGTGCACCAATCACAGTAGTTTAGTCAGCCAATCAGGTTGCGGTCTTTGCGGACCAATCAGAGTTCAGGATTTGGAGAATGTTAATATAGAACACCTCCATACCCCCTGTAGGTGCCACTGCCCTCGCCCCTGGAAATCCATAAATGAGGCCTCTCTTCCTGCTTATTCCGGCCACAGCTACTTTCAGGTAGAGTGCCTCTCTCCATGGAAGTTCCAGTTTTCACAGGCCAGAGGCTAGTGACTAGTTCGGGGTTCATTGATCAGGAATGTAGCTGAAAGCAGAAGTAAAAAGCCCAGAGCTACAACATTATTTTCTTCCAATCTTTCCTAGGCAGTAACAACTAGTCGAGCCACTTCGCAACAACAACAAAAAAAGGCACACCGACTGGCCACCTGCTCTTTCGCCTCGATCTCGGTTTCCCAAAGGAGAGGTACATACAGGTTCCAGAAGTGGAACACCAAATCCAGATGTGTCTGAATATCCCACCCCTTCCTACCTTGCACCCACCATCTGTATCCAGCACGGGGGGGGGGAAAAAAGGGACCCCTTACCTGGGCTGGTGACATCACTGGCATTGACAGCATCCCAGGCCTCCAGAACCAGCGAGTACGAGCGCTAGAAGGAACAAGGCAGAAGTTCATCAACATGTTCCTGGCCTGAACATCTGGATCCCCTCCACCACCACCACCCCAGCAACTCTCCCAGTTCTCTGCTCCGTTCTGTGCAAACCGACTGAGAACGAAATCCTTTCTACCATATCAAAGCCGGACTTCCACTCGGCTGAACTGGATGCCAAAAAATTAATTAATTTAATAATAATAATGCAAAAAAAAAAAAAAGTGGGGTGATTGTGGCAAAGAAAGCAAAGATAGCGAGAAACACCTTGGGTTTAATCCCATCTGGAGCACCAACTAAAGGCGGATTAATTGGCTTCTCGGGTAGGTTCCTCAAAGCACCCCAGAACCTTGGCAACTTCGAGTTGGGTGGACTTTAATTCCCAGAATTCCCCAGCCAGCCAGGAATTCTGGGAGTTGGAAGTCCACAGGTCTTCCTTGATAAACTTGGTAAAGTTTATCAAGTTACTAAACTTGGTAAAGTTACCAACGTTGACAAACACCGCCAGAGGCCCTCATCCACAGCCAAAGGGAGCGTTCAGCCTCCATGGCGTCGTTAGAGGTCTACAACTACAAAACCCATGCCTGCTAAAGGCTAAACTGGATAAGGGTGGGGAATACTGAGCATCAACATTGGAGGCTACCGAAAGTAAGAAAAATAGGCTGC